ATGGTCTCCTGGGAGACGGGCAACGTTAATGAGGTGCGTTAGGAGATTCCAGTGTCCCTAGATCATCAAAGCCTTAGATAACAAGGTTTCTTTTCCTGGAACCTCTGCTAAGACCAGGAAACATGAACTTTTTAAAAAGTGCATCCTTAGGGCTTTTAAAAGAGGTTGTTTGGGAATTTTAGAGAACTGAAAATAGGTGAGAGAAGAGAGAACAAATGAAACGTCTTAGTCTTTGGTCACAACAGAACTCTTGTCTTTTTATATGGGCCGCAGTGGTTTTGTCTTTATGGTGACTCAGTAGCCTGATCAGAACTACAGCAATAGCTCACATCGAAGTGTAGTCTCTCATCCACGTGGTTTGTTGCAAAACCGAGAAGTTTCCACCTGAAAGGAATGTGCTTTCTGTGAAGGGTGGCATATGTATTGGGTTCCAACCGCCCCAAATCTCCTTTTCTTCATGCCAGGTTGTGAGACTGAATTTGGGGACTTAAATAAAGGTGCTTGCTCAGAATGTGGAAAAAAAATTAAAAGCTGAATGTAAGCCATAAAGAAAAAAGGATACTGTTGTGTTGTGAGTGCCTCGGTGGCCCTGCAGGAACTGTGGGTCTGGTTTTCTTCGGATCAGTAGGATGGCCCGTTCCCATCACTGTGGAATCATCAGTAAACCTGTTGTGGTTCGCTACGCACCCTGGGAAGGTCTGAATGAAGAAATCACTTTAAAAGAAATCTCAACTGGCATTTCAGTAAGAAGACTTGTTACTTTTGTTAATAGATGTGGCCTATTTAAAATAAAACAGGAGCTAGAATGGCCTCGAAAATAGCCAGTGAGACCCCCCAGTAAGAGTGTCACTATCTGCCATTGTGTCACCTTCCTCGGCCCAGGCTCCTAGCTCCTCCTCTGGGGACAGAGCTGGGTCTTCCTGCTGGACCCCAGTTGTTTAATCTGTGATAAAAATAAATAAGTGTACAAATCTGACATAAAAATACTGTTTATTGCTTTTATTTCATTTTCCCTTAACTTTGAGTTAACAGTCATAGAAAAAAGAACACATGTGCTGTTTGTGTCATTTTCCATGTCAAGGGAAACCTGCTCATCAGAAAATACTGTCAGCACCATTTGTACACCGAGTTGAAGTAATGCTGCTTCAGTGTGGGCGTTATTAAAAGGCAATTAGGTTGAAATGAGAGTCGCCCTCATTTCCCTTTATAATTAGTGTCTCTCCACTGCAGGCGCAGAGCAGGTGTCGTTGTTAGGTGGGTAAGCAGTGGAAGACGGTCTACATCAAAATGTTATAATGCTAACAGATAATTTTTGACACAAATCTTATCACATGTTTTCAATGTAAAACAGATCATCACCATTGAAAAAATAAACCTGGAATTTTACTGCCTAAATTATAACTCCATAAGGACATAAACAAGCCTTCCCTTCACAGTGATGATCTCCGTAGGTCACAGGGCGAATCCCACTCCTTGCTTCCTCCCCTCATGCACAGGATCCAGGTGGGGAATCCTCCGTCCCTCCTGCCCACTGAATGGCGAATAGTCGGCTGTTTTCTCTGAAGTGAGATGGTACATTCAGACCTCATGAAAGGAAGGATATGGCGACTTCATGTTGTTTAAGCAGGAAAAGCTTTACTCTTTTTTTTTAACTTTTTATGATGGGAACTTTCAAACACACAAAAGTAGGGAGAACAGCATCAGAACCTCCTTCTACCCATCACCCAGCTTCACCAGTTTTCAACAGCCTCTTGACGCGAGACTGCTTTTTCCTTCTTGTGAGCGTGCTCAGCTGTGCAGGCCTTGCTGCTCCAAGGCGCCTTCTCACTTCCCCCAGCGCTCGCTCATCTGCCTCCTGTTTCGTGACCAGGCCGACCTGCAGGGTCCGGTTTATATCTGTTCAGGGCATTACCTAATCCACAGTCTTTCTGCTCACAGACGCTCTCACCAGTCCCTTTAAACAGATGGGCACTGTGATCTCCCAGAGAACACCTGCAACATGCTCCATGCGGCCGAGCCAAGGAAAGAACCCATTGTCCTTGGCCCCTCGATGTATGGCAGGCCCAGGAAAACGAGCCTGTGGGCTTTGCAGACACAAGCATTGGCCAAGACTTGGCAAGAAAATGAGGGAGAATATAAGTGTGAAAGGTGAAATCTCATGTCAGTGAGGACTGGTGTGAACCCTAAAAAGGGGGTGGGGGGAGGGCATAATTCTACAATTTGCCCAACAAATGTGTAAGAGAGTGACTGGAGTTGGCTCTGCTGAACAAGGGATTCAGGAGAAGGGCGACTCCCATTCTGTTGATTCTGTGTTGATTGGCAAGTGGATTTTTCCAAACTTCTCTTAACCGAGGTTTTGGGAAAGTAGAGGTTTTGAGATGTATCTCTGGTAAGAGGCTGGAGTATTGATTTTGTGGGTTAGGAGCTGAAGCAAATTTGTGTGTTGCTGCTGGGGAGGATAGTGAGGTCATAGGGGTCATGTGCCAGAGTGGACGCCCCTCCCACCCCACGCGTGGAGCTGCTGAGAGGCTGGCCACGAGCAAGGTCAGGACTTCGAAGTCCGAAAGCCTCTCTGCTGGCCATGTGCTTTGTGCCCTGGGAACATTTTGGTTATATCTTTTTATCATTATGGCACCATATTTCCCCTTCTGTGATGTCTCCCTTTATGAAATATCGTATTAACCACTTTATAATCAAAATGAACGTTCGTTTCATTTATTCATTATTAAAATGTCTGCCATCATTTCATGTTTATATGATGCCTTCAGAATAGGAAAGAAACTGGTTTTTGTTTGTTTTTAACTCTTTATGTTGAAAGTATTACATATGCCCCCCCTTATTCCCCCATTATCCCCTTCCAGCCCTCCTGCCCCCTCTCCAGGCCTCCACCACCCTCTTGTCTGTGTCCATGGGTTATGCATATGTGCATATAAGGTCTTTGGTTGATCTTTTCCCACCCACCCACCACCCTGCCTTCCCTCTGAGATTGGACAAGAAATTGGTTTTTAATAAGACCACAATCCCTTGGCGCATGGTTGTTTGAATCCTGTTTACAAAGTTGATGAGCACTGACTATAATACACATTTCCCCCCAAATCAGTGGCAAAGCTCTCGTCCTGTCACAGGTGCCTTCACAGGCCCCTTCGCCACCAGGGCTCCTCCTCTCCCTGGAAAGGCCGTTAACAAGTAACATAGTTTACACTCTTATTGGGTCTACGTATTTTCATATTATATACAAACAAATACAATTGTCCTGTAACCTGATGCCTTTGAAAGCATGTGGCATACCCTCACTGTTCTCAGAAAGCTCAATAGGACAGTCACACTTTCTTCTGGAAAGTGTCACTCTTTGTTCCTGACCAATCAGAGCGCTCCAAGTGGGCACCCAGGGACTTCCTATAGGGCATCCAGGGGAGGTTGACCCGGGAGAAAATGATGCAAGTCAACCAGCAGACCTCAGGGCGAGGATTAATTTCGCCGAATAAACAGTATAACTGTCCCAGCAGTTGTTGTTTTGTGTGTGTGTGTGTGTGTGTTTTGCTTTTACCCAATGTTGGACATTCCATTCTTTAATTATCTTGGGCTTTTCTCAGGAATAAACTAAGAGTTGTGATTTTTGTGTGTGTCAGACTTGAAGGTTTCTGAGTAAAGAAGCCACAACTTAGAAGAATGTTCCTGCTTGTACTTATTGAGTAATTGTGGTCATTTTTGCATAGTCCTGATGTTGAATTCCGAGGTTGGCACTCCAATGGCCTAATAATTTTTCAGAAAATGAGACCAGGAACAGCTGCCAATATAAACCGTCATTTTCTTTTCATCTAGTACATTTCAACTTTTAAAAAAGTGGGCTACTATTTGGTTTCTCTCCAATCTTTTTAGACTGACTTTTTTAATAGATAATAAAAGTAATTTCTAGACATACTGCTTTCTCTGATTAACCTTAGAAAGGTCACATGTTTTACATCTTTAGTTAAACTGTGAGCAGATTTGAAAAGTGGTACCTTTTTGAAAAGCAAGTGTAATTTCACTTCTATTTTGATGATATTGATTTTAAAAAATGGTAGGTTTAGTAGTCTCCTCACTTGCCACTGACATATATTATACTCATGGTTTGCTTATCATCTGCCCCCAATAGTGTAGGCTTCCTGAGAGCAGGGGATTGTTTTGTCTGCTTTCTTTCACTGCTCTTTCTAACCGCAATAGGTCTTGACATACAGCAGATACACGATGGTCTTGATTGAATTAATTTTGTTTTGAGAATTTGGCATCTTTATAGTTATCATCCTGTGTTCTGCTCACTGTAAACTTCTGTGTATTATATCTATAGTACATCGGGTGGCTTAAATGGACTGTTTCTTTTCTAGTTCACCTCTTAAAATAGTAGTCAACTCGATGATAATTACTGATCTTCGTGGGTTGTAAGTTCCCTCTATTAACCTGAATTCTATTTCCTGCAGCTACTTGGCAACTGAAAGAGATCATGTCCTTCCACTTCTTACAGGTTCCTCGCATTCTGCACCACCCTCAGTGACGTGGTGGGGAAACTCCTTTCAAGCTTCCATATGTTGCTCACATTGCCGTGGTGTAATTTTGAAGTGTCACGTTAGTCCAGCATTACAATTCCTAGCTGTCACAACATGGTTCCGCGTGTGCCTGTACCTTGTAGGTGTACCGACAAAGCTGTTTTAATTAGCAACAGCTCTGTGCTCTATTGCATGCTCCTGGTTCTATGCTGGGAATGTAAGAGGCGTTTTTATAAAATAAATTGACACCCACTAATGTGTCTGTTTTATAAGTTTGGAATTTTTTATACTGATTATTCTTAAAGTGGAAAACATCAGGGCCTGGCATTTAAAATCTGGTTTTGTTTGCCTGAACTCTGTGGAATGACAGTAATAGGCTAGAGATCTGAAGCTTTTTGATGCCAGTTCAGGTGATAAAACCTTTGTTTCAGGGGCGCTCGTTTTTCCTGTTTACGTGTTTATCATATGCTGTTTCAGGCCTTGCGAGATGAACTGGAAAACCGCTCGAACCAAGTGCGATGCGCAGAGAAGAAGTTGCAGCACAGGGAGCTGGAGGCCCAGGAGCAGGTACGCCCCCCCACACCCCCCGCGCCGGCGTGCTTGTGTGTTTCTCCACAGCGGGAGCCGATGTGTTTCCTGTTTCCACTGGGGTGTTTGGCTGCACGTAACAGAGTGCCCCACTCCTGGCTGGCAGAGACAACAAAGAGATTTATTACCTCACAAAACCAGAAGGCTGTAGGTAGGGCAGGCTCTGGGCAGAGAGCCTCGGGCCTTGGCTCCCTCTATAACATTCTTGTGGCTCTTCCCCTGGGTTGACTTCATCCTAAAAGCACTGCCAAGGCCTCTCATAATTCCCAGCAATATCCAGAGGCAGAAGCGGACTGTCTGCCTCTAGGGACCCTTCTGAAGAGTAAGACCTTTCCCAACAACCCCTACACACATACCCCTAGCTTCTCATTGGCCAGGACAGGTCACATGCTCTCCCTGGCACATCCAATCCCTGGCAAGAGGACTGAGGGGACCCATACCAGCCTAGACCAACGGGGATCTACGTGGGAGAGGGAGAATAACCTGAACAGGAAGTGGGGAGAGGGATGTTGGGTCCACAACCAGCGAGCAGTGTGTGTCGTGTCATCATATTCGAATGGAGAGACAGAAATCACATTTTCTTTTGAACTGAATTTTCTCCTCTCTCTCCATTATATTAATAAAATAAATCAAGTTTAACCAGAATAATCTGGCTATGATGATAGCTAATGACCTATTTCATTTTCAAATGGCAGGATTCTTTTTATTCAGTTCTTCTGGATATAGTGAGTTATTCTTTGGGGTAATTTTGACAACCGAAGTGAAAAAGGCAGCAGTGTATTGAGAGCTCAGGAGCCTCAGTGGGACCTTTAGAAATGCATGTCCTCAGCTCTTGGGTGCAGCATTTTTCACATTCTCCAAGGTGCCACCACGCCTCATGCACATTACCTGTCGTCTCATAGTGCAGCCAGTGCAGGAATGTCCGGTTAGTCATTCTGACCCTGTGGGGAGAATAAACACTGAAGTAAGGATAATAGGCGATGTTTTTCATCTTGGGAGGTGTCTACAAACAAGACCTCAAGGCAGGGGACTGCACAGAATGGTAGATGGAAGCATCCCATAGGTGCTGAGCGTTCATACCAATGAACTGACGGCCTCATAATTCCCTCCTACTCTCTCACATACACTCAGCATAACATACATGCCATGTAATATGTATAGATCACGTGTATGATATGCATGAATATACAAATATATGTATTACAGAGAGCCTGTCATACAGTCAACAATAGAATCACAAAATGAGATAATACTAGAATACAAAATTAATAACTATACTGTATCAATGGCCTACAAAATCACAGATGCTATACAAGAAACATTATACATGTTAGTTCATGTAGCCTGATAACAACCATGTAAGGCCAGCGTTATCATCCCCATGTCACAGAAGCTGTAAAACCCGGAGGGTTGAGTAACCTGCCCAAGGTCATAGAACTAGTAGAGAGTACGGTGGATTCAAACCCACGTTAATCTGAATGCCAAACCTCTGCTCCTTTGATGACACGTTTTAAGTTACATTTCTAGTTCATAAAAAAGCTGCATAACAGACTCAGGGCAAGTAGGTGTATTAAGGATGGCAGGGGAGCAAACATCCCGTGCCAGCATTAACCCTCCACGGGCAGAGAGCAGCAAAGAGCAGAGGAAACGAACGCAGAGCAGACGGGCCCAGATGCAAACAGCTCCTTGGATGGCTGTGGTGTGCGCGCCATGGCACAGGCTTCCTTCGCTGAGGCCGCTGGGCTCCACCTCTGTCTCGGACGCTTGTAACTGAAGAAGTCAAGCTTCCTGAAAGCAGGAACAGTGCTCCCTGGAGGCCTGCCTTCTCCAGTTTGTGATAAAATATGACTTAAGGTAACACTTTGTTGACATCGCTCTAATTCATGGCAGAGCTTCACACGGAAAACTCCATCGTGTGCTGAGAGGAGGGAAATGAAGAAATCCCCAATGAACAACGGGGCAGGATTCAGGAACCACTTCGGTCTCTTTTCATTGACTTCTTTTTGATCATCAAAGTTGCTTTCATCTTTGCAGTGACAATAGCTTTTTAGACTATTTCTTACACTAATTCCTGGTATCTTCTATTAGGCTCCAAGTTTACCAAAGAAACGTCAGGAAATACCCGTGGGTAAAGCTGCAGACTTCATAGTCTTTGCAACCATGACATGTTGGGTCCTTTCCACAAGATCCTAGGCTGTAACTGGAAAAAATGCCAGTTGCTTCAGCAAAACCGAAGAGCAAATGATGGGCACTTGATAAATACTACTCATTTGGAATTTAATTCAACTATCTTTATCTAAATTTGACCTCTGCCCCCTTTCAGTTTGTGACACTAATAATTAGAAGTATTGTGTTGTACATTCTTAGGGTCCACTTCTATATGAGCTTACTCAGACAGTTAAAATCTTTTTTAAGTTTTTTAAAGATTTGTGCATTTATTTATTTTGTTATTGTTGTTGTTAATCCTCACCCAAGGATATTTTTCCATTGATTTTTAGAGAGAGTGGAAGGAGAGGGGAGAGACAGAGAGAGGGAGAAACATCGATGTGAGAGAGAGACACATCAGTTGGTTGCCTCCCGCACCTGCCGGTACAAGAGGCCGGAATAGAACCTACAACCAAGGTATGAGCCCTTAAACAGAATCTAACCCAGGACCCTCAGTCTGCAGGATGATGCTCTATCCACTGAGCCAAACCAGCCAGGGCAAATAGTTAAAATCTTGAAATTGTTGAATATGATTATCTGTTTTGCATGTCAAAGCAAGGGTAGTCCCAGTCACTGGCCTGACATCAGCCAACCAAATGACTGAAACGTGTGCGGATCAGCTTCTCAAAACTTCTCTTCCTTTTCAACCACATATTATCCTGGTACAAGTTGCAGAAAGAGTCAGAATTGGATCTGGCGAGATTACAAAGGACAATTTCCTGGGCTGCTTTTTTTAACTCGCTCACTTAGAAAAAGAGAAGAAAAAGCTTAAACTGTTGCTGTTTTTCATTTAGGAAAAATTCCTATGTTTTGATTCTATAAAAACAAAAAATGAATGAGGCATTTTAAAAGTTGTGTTTTTAATTAAAAACAAAAAGCTGCTTCTCATCAGGTCTCGATGGGTGGTATCCTTGCTGCCCACCCCTTGCCTCGGTGCCATCAACGCTCCTAACTCCTCCCCTGGCAGGTCAGTCAGCACCGCGCCCAGAGGGGGCTTGCTCATCATGGCTACAGAGGGTTAATTTGCTCCTTATGCAGGTCCAAGATAAGCCAAATAAAGTTAGGAAACACTAACTCTATCTAAGCCAGCCTTCCAGAAACACCAACTTATCTTGTAATTCGTAAGTAGTAAAGTCATTATAAATCATCGTTATTTTTAGCCATACCAGGAGTTAATAATTCCTGATTCCAGATAAGATCCGAGCAAGAATCCCATAATTGCAGCAAAACCGGGGAGGTCAGAGCTCTGGCCCAGCTTCCTCCTTGTGCAAGGACACTGAGTCATCAGGAAGAGATGCGAGCCCTCACAGCAGGCGAGGTCCAGGGAAGGACCGCTCCCGCCCAGCGCACGTGGGCCGCTCGCTCCCGGCCATGACACTTCCCATTGGAGGGAGCGACGTAACATGGGTACGTGCTGTGTATCGCTCGGTTCAGGGATGTGTACAACTGACCCTCAATTTCCTGAGTAAACAGTGTGTCATCATGCTCAATGAGACTAATTTGCCGACACGGGACAATATTATAGAAAAGACAGGGAAGAAAAGAAACAGTTTAAAAATCCACTTGGTATTCTTAACACGGTACAAAGTTTACACTTGTCATGAAGGCACTGAGCAACGTCAGATTTCGACCTAATATAATGTGGATAGTAGTGTACGCACCGCAGATGCTCTGGGTGGAAGTAGGTATCTTAAGGTTGAAAGTATTAATGGCTTTGATTGCATCAGTCGCTCAGTTTCCCAAATTATTTTAGATAAATTAGTGAGAAAAGACAGTGAGCCAGAGATGTCCTAATAAATTAGCCCAGCGCTGTGCATTTCCCAACAGGGTCCCACTGTCTCCCCTCAGCTTGTGGCGGCACATGGTAGGTGCTGAGAAGACAGAGATGAGTGGGTTGGAGAGGAGTTTACGGTTTGGTAGCACAGAGGAGCCTGTACACAGTGTAGACTCCACGCATGGAGCTTGAGGGAGGTTCTTATTCTTCTAAATGGCTCAGAGGCTCAGAATCACAAATGCGGAAAGGACGCAGCATCAGTCCTGTGTCCATCCTGCCTGCCCCCCGTGAGGAAGGATGAGGAGGACCTGCAGCTGGTCAGAGCTCAGGTCCCGTGGCCCAGGCAGGGCTTGGCGCTCGCTGACACATGTTGTTTCAAAAGCCTGCGGTCCTCAAGGGAACCGGGTCCTTCTGGGCGGTCCGAGGCGGGCAACTCCTCTGCCAGCCTTCTTAGGGCCCACCAGGCCCTGTTGCCCGGGCAGCGACCAGAGGGCCTCTGCCTTCTGGCCAGTGTTATTAGCAGCCAGCTGCTTTGGTTGTGCCTCTTACCTGGTGTGTCCAGGTGTTAAGGGTCTGGACTGTGCAGCCACAAGTAACCCATAGGTTGTCTTAAAATACATAGCAAAAAGCCAGCCATACTCAACTTTCAATCACATCTTTGCTGCAACCTACTTTATATTTCAGGCCAAGACACATTCATTACTTTCAGAGAGAATCTAGCGAGCAAAGACAGCCTCAGAGGTAATCGTGTGTATTTGGGGAGGGGGCAGAGGTTGTCCCAGAGCCAGTTAGCAGAACCCAAGGCAGGGGCTGGGGCAGGAGAGGCTGCAGGACAAGGGAGAGCCAGTGGGGATGACTGCTGGTGCTCAGGTCACTTTGTCCCTGCAGGTCATTGGGCAAGCACTGCACTGCTCCGGTACCAGGTCCCTAAAACACCAGTGCTCATACCTTCCCACAGGGTGGATGTGGACACCAAAACGAGGTCACGTGTGTGAGATAC